TGTACAGCACACATGCTATCTAGGAAAGAATCACATACCAATTTACCCATAAAGCAAGGAACAATTACCGAATTACCCTTCGTCGTACCTCAAGCCTTCAACCTTAATAAAATTTCAAGCAATAACCATGATAAAAGATTAGGGAAACTTACACAAATGTCCCAAATAAGTCTAACTTACCAACCTCTAGATATTAGTCATAGACTTACCAAAACTAGTCAAACACATATAAAAATTAAAAAATCAAATAAATAAGGTTCTTTCTCTCAAAGAATCACGTATAAAATCTCATTTCATATTTTTAAGTGTGATTAACAACATTAGATGCAAGACGGAAAGGAAATTTCGTGAATAAGGTAGCAAATAAGGTGATGAAATACAAAAAAATAAAAAAATATTCCAAAAATCTAAGCAAAAAAGGAACTTTTCCAATGGGTATAGTTGAAATTCATTGATAACATATAGATAAGTCAATATACAAAATTTAAGGAAGAATGGAGGTGATTTGGACTAGTTTTGTATCAAAATTCGTAATTAAATCGAGTTCAAAAAATTCTTTTGCGACACATGTATCAAACATGTATCAGGCATGTATCTCACACACAGGGATACATGTGATACACAATTGATACAAATATGATACATATGTGATACACATAGCATTTTTTTCATGTTCAGTTTTTACTTCGAATTTTTAATGTAATTTACCTCAAAACTTCATCAAATTATTCCAAAACTGAGATTCAAGTTCCTTAAGATGTACCAAATCTATTCTAATAACACTCACTCAAAAGAAAGCAAAAATTTGACTTTTTTTTGCTACAAATAACTAATTGGCTAATATTAATAATATTTTATTTGGGAATCAGGGATAGATCCCACAAACTGCATAATTATTTATATATCAGCTGCCACAATGCTAGGATAAAAACTTCTTTTGTAACTAAAATCGCGAGGACTTGCGAAAAGAATCATATCTCTATGCTATTGTAATGATGGATGAGTTTGTATTAGTAGGAAGATAGCAGAATGGAAAAATGGAGGGTACTAAAATCTTGGAACAAACAGCTTCACCCACTACAAAAAAACTGATAAATTGTGGCGATTAATTTATGAGAGTTATAAGAAATTTCTACTATATATTTGTTTTGTAGCGTTTGCGTCAATTCCTACAAAATAATTTTTTTTGTGGTGGTTTATTTGTGGGAGTTGTGAAAGACCTTCACTATATTTTTAATTTATGGCGTTTGTTCTAACTTTCACAAAATTATTCGTATTGTGGCAGTTTTATTGTGAAAATTTCTGATACCCCCAGAAATGCAAATTTAATTGTCTGCAAAATCTTTGCCATTCGATACAAATTGGAGGCCACTAACTCATGCAATATTTAGTCATTTTGTCTACCATCTTTTGAAAATCTAAATCAAATTGCACATTTTAGTTAAATTTCTACAAATTGATGCAATTTATGCCAATTTTTAACCCTTGCCATTTTTTGTCTTTTCCCCAACATTCTATCCCTACAAAAAGTAAGACACAAAAACAGAGGTTTTCCATTATCTCTATATATTAGTTATTAGTTTTTCTTTTATTGTCTTCAGACATTTTTTTATTTTATATATTCATCTTTAGCTAATGAAGGATTGAAATACCTCGACAAATAATTTAGCCACAAGTAAAAAAAATCAATAAAGGCTATATAGAAAAATATTTATCAAACTAGATAGAGAACGAGGATTTTTATTCACTTATAAATTCTTGAATATCTCTACATCGAAGTTGTCACGACCCAATTCCATCTATAGGTTGTGATGGCACCCAACACTACAGTTAGGCTAACCAACTAATAAATTAAACATATATCGATTATTTTCAGAATAAATTTTCCATGAAATTTTATTATTTTATTTGCAGTCTTAAGTAAAATGAAAAGATACCGATAAATTTAAATCCAAAAATAATAATAAGACACCAAATTTTACCAATGTGTGTGTCAAGACCTGGTATCACAAGTGTATGAGCATCTAGTAGATTATACAAAACTTCAAATACTATCTGAAATAAAAATAGACAGAATGAAAATACAAGGAGAGGCACTGGTAGCTGCAGGAAGGCTCAGAAAGGTAGCTCACCACTACGCCTCTGGATAACGAGGATGTGCGATGATAGGTCCTCAACTAGTATATGTCTCCGATCCTGCACAAAAAGTACAGCAAGTGTAGTATTAGTACGTAAACAACGTGTACCCAATAAGTATCAAGCCTAATATCGAAATGGTAGAGACGAGATGGTCGACTTTGACACTCACTAAGGGTCAACAATAATAAATAAAATTTATTTAATTCATCATGATTCACAAAATTAACAATAATTTTACTAAATCAGCTGGAATAATTAAATTCTTCCAATTTCAACAACTTCCAAACCATTTATTAAATTCACAAGCTGCAAATTAAAAACATCGTGAAATCGTGTATTTATTATTATTATTAAGCACAATTTCTGCCGAGGTCGTACAACCCGATCCAGAGTGTCGTGTACATTGCCGAGGGACGTACGACATGATCCATAAATGCATCTATCTTGCCGAGGCATTCGGCGCGCTCCACAAGAAAGGAGGACATTTTCTTATGTGCCTCCAAAAGGAAAGTATATTTATTATAAGATCAATTCGAGAGGTTTAACAATTAATTACTTTAAACAGAAAATTAAACATATGAGATTTTCATCTTTCAATATCTTCCCTAACAATTCATAATGTATATATATATATATATATACGTCAAATAATTTAATTAAGTAAAGAATACACTTTATCCAAGTAATTCATGCTTTGAGTCATAAACTACCCGAACTTTAACATTTACAGTAGTTACGCACGAACTCTCGTCCCCTCGTGCGTGTAGCCCCCACAATTAGCAACATTTATTAATTTTAATCACCTATGGGGAAATTTCCCTCTCACAAGATTAGACAAGAGATTTACTTCAATTTGCTCCAATTTAATCCACTAGAAGGCCCTTTCCACGATCATCCAACTCTGTCTGACTCGAATATAGGAAAAATAAATTCGATACAATCACTAAAAATTATAAGAATCAATTTCATAAGAAAATACTATATTTTTTAATGAAATCCGAAATTAACTCAAAAATCATCCGTGGAGCCCGCGAACGCGATCCATTATTCGCGAACGCGGAGAGAAAATCTTGCCTGCTCCAGTTTTCCCTTCGCGAATGCGAGACCTCCCTCGCGAACGCGAAGAAGGAAACCAGAACTGGAAAATCTGGTTTCCCAAATTTAGCTCCGGGCGGTCCGAAACACACTCGAGCCCCTCGGGACCCCGTCCAAAGGTACCAACAAGTTTGTAATCATAATACGGACCTACTAGAACTCTCAAAACGAGTAAAACAACAACAAATCCAAGAATCACACCCCAAAACCAAATGGGATCAAACTTTGAACTTCAAGTTTTTCAAATTCTCTGAATGCGTCGAATCATACTCAGACTACTCGGAATGACACCAAAATTTGCATGCAAGTCTTAAATCATTATACGGAACTATTCCCAAACTCAAAATTCCAAACGGATTTCGATTACTCAAAAACCTACTCCAAACCAAATTTAAAGAATTTTAAACCTTCAAATAATTAATTTTTACTATTAAGCGCCAAAATGTTCCGGATTATCCAAAACCCGATCCGAACATACGCCCTAGTCCAAAATCATCATACGAACCTATTTGAACCGTCAAATTCCGATTCCGGGGTCATTTTCTCAAAATGTTTACCGAAGTCAAACTTGGCCTTTTAAGGCCAACTTAAAGAACCAAGTGTTCCGATTTCAACCCGAACACTTTCAAATCCCAAACCAACTATCCCCGCAAGTCATAAATCAATAAAAGCACATATATGGAGTTTTATTTTAGGGAACGAGGTTCTAAAAATTAAAATGACCGGTTGGATCATTACAGAAGCTATGTCTTCACCTTAGAAATTATGTAGCTACACCCCTTTTTACACAAATAGCCATTCATATTCTTTGTTTAAGCACATGCAAGAAATTCAACAATGGCTATATGGACAAAATTTATCAAACTAGAGAGAAAATATGGTAGGAGGCTTTTTTATTTATTTATAAACTTTTGAATCTCTCTACATCGATGATATCTATCCACCTTAGAAATTATGTAGCTACACCCTGATTTATAATAGTACAAACCAAATTTGACTGGAATTTAGAAAATTTATTCCTATATGTTTCCGTCCGTGAATCATAATTAGACAAATTTAAATAAACTAACAAATATCATAGACATTTTAGGAATACTAATTAATCTTAGTTTAATTTTCAACTTCTAAAAACTCAAAGGCATTTTTTCCTCTCTTTATTTGTCACTTCTCAATATTAAGATATTGATTTTATTGTGGATGAATTTTTTTCACAATTATGAAGAATATGACACTAGTAGCTAAATAGTAGAATGAAAAAACAATATTGTTAAACCTCTTTATAACAGTCTCATATGTCCATATGTTTTAGCCTATTATAACGATTAGTTGTTATACACCTATATTAACATTTAAATTTTAGATCTTATTTGGTTGTTATAAACAAAATTACCCAAAAATAGTTTTTTTAATTTTTTTATATTTAAAAGATAAAAAATATATTTAGATTAAACATCTAAAAAGATATTCATATTTCATTAATTAAAATTTTAAATAATTAGTACGATATAATACATCCGTAACTAGTTGTTACATTTATTTTATCTAGGGATTTTAGCAATTTTATTATGTTCAAAAATATTATTTTTATTGTTGGAAAAATACTTAATTTTCTCAAACACTTATTTGTTGCCTTAATTTTCCTTTTGTTTTTGCTCGAAAAGTAAACGCGGTAAGTTCTCCCTCCTTTTCCAAAATATTTCCCGAATCTTTCCCTCTTTTAATTCCATTATGCCTCTAGCCCTAGGTTTTTCCTTTTCAACACCTCGGCTGAACTGCTTCTTCTCTAGTGCATTGCTTCCCTTCATATGCGCTCTATCTCAATTTTCTATCCATATTAGTTACATTTTGTAAGTATTATTCTTCATCTCAATTTATGGCTCCTGCTCTGATTTTTGAATCACGGATTATGTCTTTTGTGTTGCTCCATTATTTCAATTTAAGTAATTTTTTATTAAGGTATTTTCAGGCTAGGAATACGATTTATTGGTATTGCATTGTGTCTTGGGAATTTCTGAAGTGAAGTATCCATTTGGGCGAATCAACTTCAGAATGTCACTGCTCATCTAAAGGTGATTTTTTTTCTTTTTTTCTTTTCCTCTTAATTTCATTTATTTTCTTTATCTCAGTAGCAGTAGAATTTGGATTTTTCAGTTGTAGTTATTGCTTGAACCAGTAATGAAACCCTTATGGACAATCTAGCTTGAAATTTATTCTCTTTTTTAAAAAGTGTTGACATTCGAGGGAAGACCATTAGATGTTTTGCTTCTGGCTACAGATTACTCAGTGTTGTAGTAAGAAGCTCCTTTATTTAACGCAAAGTTTTTTCCAGATTCCAATTAGAATTTAGTTCTGTTATGTGATGTTGAAATTGATTGACCCACAAATTAATATAATATGGGAATTGGGAGAGCATAAATGCATTTTATTCTGCGGATTATTCAGTCAGGGAACTTGCTAATGTTTTTCTCACTTCTACATTGAGGAATATCAAGACAGTACATGGTCTTCAATGAATGCATCTCTTTTACTTGCTATGGTGACAAATTTATTCTTCTCTAGATCATACTTTAATAGTTTAGTTTTTCACTTTCCATAAAAAATAAATTATTGCAGATAAAAACTTCCTCTAGTAATATGTCTTGCATCATATCATTATTGCAGATGTGTACGTTTCTAAGAGTACTGGACATGGTGTAATTTCAAACCCGCTATCAGGTAAGTTGACTCATTTTATTGTAAAAACTAGCTTATCTACGGCTCACAAAAGTTTTTGAACTTATTTTATATATGCCTTCAAATTTGAATATTTCTAGCAGACAAAGATCATTAGGCAGGTAAATTATTTGTATGCTACTGATATTTTATTTATTTGGAAAAAGAAAATGAACTCCAACTTTCTATATAATTACTCGAGATTGAGGGTGAAGAACATGAGCCTTACATCGAAGTATCTCAAGAATAAATATAGTGTACTACGTAGATGATGTTTTCAATTAAGGATAGAGTGCTTTTTGTAAACCTAAAGCCAATAGATTTGTATGATACAGAAGAAGTTGTGGAAGATGAAGGTTATGAGAATGAGCCATACTAAGAGTTAGGATATAACTAGCTACAGACCATCTAATTGATGATGTAGTCGAGGCAAATACTGCTACTTATTTAGCAACAAATACATACAAATCCGAATAAACTTTTTATTTATTATGGTATTTTATCTAAAGGTAACAATATTGCATCTTTAAATAGTGCTTATTTATTTCGTTTATAGGTATGTTTAGAGATGACATTCATTTGGTTTAAAGGTATGTTCAGAAATGGTATTCACATTTGATTCGCCTTATTTTTTATATCTTGTATTCGTATGTGTTCCCCATAAGAGGATCTCTTACTGTGGAGTAATTCTATGGACAAACTTTGATGAAGCCAACTTGATTGAATGTTAATCTATGCATATTTTGGTTTAACAGATTGATATAGCTGTTATGATGGCATTGAGTGGTAAGTTATGCTTGTTAACTCATCTCCTAAATCTTTTCACATCTTTCCCCCAGGTCACATTAAGTAACTAAGAGTAATTTGTTATATATTCTCTTGTAGTTTTTGCGGATAATACAGATACTAGTGGAATTCATGCCTTAGAAAAAGTTTTGCGCGTTTTAATTTGTTGCTTCTTTTGTTTGAAGTTGAATCCAACAAATTTTAACATGCTTGGTTTGTTTAACTAACTGCTCCTATCAGACCACTCCTATTTTATTCAGTTCATTTCTTCTACTTCAATTTTCTAGTGTTATTAGCATTCAGTTTCGATGCAAGTTTGTTAATCATTGGGATAGATTACAGCTTATAATTTATTTGTTTGATTCTAATGTTAGAAAGCCTATAGTGGTTAATTTATATTTTATTAGTTACATTGTGATTTTCGTGAATATATGGCAAGAATTTATGCTATCAAGTAAAATAGTTTGGGGATGTAAGTGTTGTGATGATATCCAAGGAAATAGCTTTGTACTTTAGCTCTTATTCATGTGAGGATCTAACAACTTCAGTTCAATGCTATTGTTAGATCAAGTAACAGATTTACTTGTAAGAAGAATAAGACCTTTCGTTTATTAATATACCAAGATCTTCCTTTTAGCTTGTTGGCAAAATTTTATTTCTTTTTGTAAGTTTTTGATCAAAATTCTCTGTTTCAGCAATATGATATGTAGAGTGAGCCTGCTTCATTTTTTGGATGTGAGAATATGATCAGGTGATAACAATACAAATCACCAAGCAAATACTTAGCATATCTGCATATTTACTTATTATGGACAGCTGTAGAATGTATAATGTTTAAATTATCAAATATGTGTTTTTATAACTTTAGTGTGATATGAATTTGAATGTGTTGATGTTTGTTACTATAGATATTCTTAATGGAATGGATTTATGTTGTATGACTTATTGAGTTTATTTATTGCATCCTTGAATTAAAATTTTCCACTATTGTGGCAGTTATAAGCTGCCACTGATTATTTTTTTTAAAAGATTGAGATCAAATTGTGGGGGTTTATAACCCTCACATTATTTTTTAAAAAACATTGAGACCATATTTTGTATGTTATAAACTGTCGCTAATTGCCTTTAAAAACCGTCACAAATTAAAAATTTATATTGTGGCGGTTGTCGTGGAGGTTTTACAAAATTGCCACAGAAATGCTCGTGGCGAAGGTAACTATGGTATTTTTTGAAACCGCCACAATTCATTTTGTAGGGGTCAAAAACCGCCACAAAACCTAAAAATACCCCCCACAAAATGAGCCTTTTCTTGTATTACCCTCCCGTGCGAATTGGTGAAGTTAATGTGGGCCAAGCTCTTTGCAATTTCGGTGCAAGTATAAATTTGATTCCGTTATTAGTGTTTAAGAGCCCGTTTGGATTAGCTGATTTGGAGTAGCTGATAAGCATTAGATGCTGAAAAGCACTTTTAAGTACTGAAACCGATTTAATAATTAAGCAGTTACGTGTTTGGATACAAGTGCTGAAATTGATAATAAGCTACTGCAGTGTTTGATAAAAAAGTATTGATAAGCTCTTTTTCTGTTAAAATGACTTAAATAACCTTAGAACTGTTTACACTTATAAGGATGTAATTTCTTCAAAATTTTAGATTCGAGATCGATTCAAATACAAAATATTCTATTTGTCAATTTATTTTAAATATACTCGTGATTAGATAAGATAATTTTTATGATAAATATAATTTATTTTATGATAAGCATATAATCATAAGTTATATTATAATAATTAATAAATTGACAAAAAAAATTCCGTAAACAAATAAACCTAAATAGGATAAAATATTTGAAGTGAAAAAACAAACAATTTATGCGTATTGTCTGTGCTAAATTAAACTAAAACATTCAACTATCGTAAATTTCTTGGGCAATTAGATCACGAATTTCCATCCAAATATTATTATCTCCTTTATTTTTCCACATTTTCTATATTTGCAACATTGACGCGTGCAGATCTTCCAACATCAGGATCAACAAATGGCACATATCTCTCATTCTCGGCTTCTTGGTCCACTTTACATTTCTTTCTAATGTAACTGTTAATTGTCATTATAGCCAGTACAATATCTCTTTGAGTGTCAATGTGATAGAAAGACATATCTCTCAAAATAGACCACCTTGCTTTTCATACCCCAAATGTTCGCTCTACAATGTTTCTACAAGAAGAATGTAAATAATTGAACATTTCTTTATGTCCATCTGGGGCTCGCAATTGACGTGTTGCACCTCGACGAAATTCTGCGAGGTGGTATCTCACAGTATCCCATTTGTATGGTGCCATATATCCCTTCATATGTGAATATCCCGCGTCAACAAGATAATATTTGTCCCATATGGATATAGAAAGTTCAGTTTGGGTCTACGAAGAGCCTTACCAAATATACGATTATCATGAATCGCTCCTTCCCACCCAACTCATGCAAATATAAACACATATTAAAGTCGACAACAACAAGAATATTTTGAGTAGGGTAACCTTTGCACCCGATATATGGTATCTCTTGACCTTGAGGTAATCTTGCTTTTACATGCGTGACATCAAGTACTCCGATACAATCCTAAAAATATATACATGGATAAATTAAATGTAATTTTACAGCAAAAGGTTTTTGAGTTATATTGTAAAAACACAAATAATATAATTATTAAAAAATGGTAACATACTTTAAAAAAAGGGAGACATCGTTGGTTACATGGCTTGTGATCTCCCGCACCATTATTATAATTTGAATGTGGTTGAATTATATCTCTTGCAAGCTTACCAATGACCTTTAAAACACTATAAAAATGCCTATGAATTGTTTCTCCTGAGTGCTCAAAAATCTCTTGTACCAACCGATTCCTGGTGCACATATCATCAAGAACATCCCTAACTCCTCATACACAGACATCCCACGTTTGGGTTTAAGACCATATTTATCAGTTAGATCTTTGATTAAATCAAGAAACACCGACTTCCTCAGTCGAAAATTTCCATAACAACGAGTCTCATTTCCATGTAATATCTCATGGATAAATATATTCCCAGTACGTTTAGATGTACGACATGGTTCCTTGCAAATATATTTCTCATAATATATCAATATACTCTTACCTGCGATTTGACATAGTGCCATCCGTTCCTTATCTTCTTGACTTTCCTCTTCTTCATTTTCGTCGTTTAACAAGTCACTTGGATGACTAAATATCAATTTGTCAATATTCCAGCAGGCCATTAAACTGGAAAAAAATAGATACTTATACTGTTATGAATTAAAAATAACAAAGGCTAACTCTAAAGTAGAGAGTCATCAATTATAATTAAAAAAAAATATACTAATTAAAAATGACAAATGCTAACTCTAAAGTAGATAGTCATCAATTAAAATAAAGACATATAATGTCTAAACAAGAAACAATCATATCACCATTATGTCTGAACACGACACCAAATATAAAAAAATTATAAACTTCCATGCATATAGTTTAAAGAACATGTTAAATAATATCTAATAATGCTAGTGTAATATGGCTAAGTCATCACAATAACTTCTCATACTGGATTAGATGGATTGTTCGGCACGAATGATCGTCTGTGGTTATACTCCAACCAAGATTTCCTAGCTTTATCAGTAGACAATTTGATACATGCATGTCGCATCTCTTTCTGCGTCAACAAGTTCACAGCACAGTTAAAAATATCACTCCCTGCAAGAATACCAGGAATATTTTCTAAAATATCCATGCACTTCTCAATGGTTGGTTCTGATGCTGCACGAGATGTGCTTTTGTTAGATATAAACTCAATTAAGGAGTGTATCTACTCTTTTAGCGATAATGAATTACTTTTTGTCTTGCGCTTTTTCAGTTGACTACTAATGCCACTGTCGTCTATTAACTTTCGCTTTCTAAGTGATGGCTCAGGAAATGTAATTGAATCTATATTCTGCAAGTCGTAACTTTCATTACTCCTTTTATCATTTCATTGTTCTACGTCATTATCATAAACATCATTTGTTCCATCATCATCTTGTTCTAACCCAACTTCAGACTCTTGTTCTTGATTCGCTGCACGTGCTCTCTCTCCAGTGGCAATAATATCAGTAAATAGAGTATCATAACGGAACCATATCAGAGAGAGGTTTTTGTTTCTAAATTTTTTGTATTTAGAATTCTCCTATAAAAAATTTAAAATTGCTTTAAGTAAACAAATGATATTAAGAATTAAAAGAGTTATGAAATAATTATAGAAAAAATACAGCAATGTACCTTTATTTTTTGCTCTCACCAATCATCATCTGCAATAATTGTTTTTCTTGTGGGATCCCATCCTAAACCTGTCTCACCTCTCATCAACTGTTTAAAAAGAGTCCACTCGGATTTCATGTGATCCCAATAGTTTTTCATTTGTTTTCTAGTATATTGTAAACCCGTCTTCTTATTAAACTCATTTACCATATTCTTCCATCCATCTTTCGACAAGTAAGTGTTTGGCCTATTTCCTTTTCTAACTTCTTTCTCACATAATTCAATGAATTTAATGTGTGCATATTCATCCCACTTAGCATTATTTCGTCCCAAAGTATTATCCGCCATAATTGAATGTAAACAATCTGAAGAGAATAAAATATTTAGTTTATCCGAATTGAAAATTAGAGACAAATACCAATAGAAAGATCACTACAACACAAGTTCAAAAAGATGCAAATATGACAGCAAAAAGGAACCAAATACAGATATGCATGAGAGGTATGAGAATTAGCAAAAAGATAAGAATTAGAAAAGAGAAAAAGAAAAAAAAGAAGAGTTAGAAATATGAGAATGAACGATCAAAAACTTCAAAGATACAATCTTGAACGATCCAACAAACCCCATTATTAAAAACAAGAGAACATATGAGAACAAAATTAAAGTTCCACAATAAAATACACAGCTAAAAATAAGAATCTGTAAAAACAAACTAAAGATTAGATGTATATTGTAAATCATGAATCAAGAGTTAAGAACTTTTTGAGACCATGAGATGTCTCTATGTTTTCTTCCTCGTTCTTTCCTTTTCATTGTAATAACTTCCATTCCTCTTCTAGTTTCTCTTAATCTGCAAATTTCCTTATACTCTTATTTTGATTAACTCTCTATTAGCAGTAATTGTCAATAACTCTTTTCTTCTTCTTCGGTTCGGTATTTCGGTATTTGGTTTATTAATTATGTATATCAAATACCGTACCCAAGTAGTTCGGTATTTCTTATTTGGTTCGGTACTGTTTAGGTACGGTTTCGGTTTACCAATTTACATAACAAATTTGCATGACAAATCTGCTAATTCTTTTTCTTTTAACCTCACCCTTACTCAAAAGGATCATAGTGCTCTTTGCTAACCCTCGTGTGACTTGAAACTGACCTACTAGTTGGATTTGTTAGAGTTTTCAACGTTGGTTTAAGGAATGCGATGTGTAGTCTCTTAATGAGGTATTAGGCAATCTTCACATCTGATCGTGAATTAGATTTTGGAGTTAAGGCCCATATTTGTTTTCTTTGCATGTTATCAAAACCATATGTATCCAATCATTTGTTTATCTAATATTAGGCCTCATTTTAAAAGATGGAATTATCTACCGACCAGCCCTTCCATCAATTGTCTAACAATTAATGCTAAGCAGTTAGATAGATGGCAACTTCCTACCATTAGGATTAGGTAAGACAAAATTAAACTAATTTTTTTGTTAGTTGAATTAATGTATGGAGGGAGAGAGTTGTTATTTGTAAGATTTTTGTCCATATGATTTCCCTTTC